TATTGCCGCTTTTCCTCCGCTGTAGCGGCATTTGCGTCTTCCTCCTTTCTCCTTTTGCACTTTTTGATGTCTTTTCTGATTCCATCTCTATCCTTCTTCACTTCTTTTCACCAAATTCACCTTAAAACCTCCATAAAAACACAAAATCAAGCATAAACCTGTCCAGCTCTCTTATTTCTAAAATATAACCAAAAGCATGATTTCAAGCTAGTTTCTTCTAATTGTTAAAGGTTGCTTTTAGTATAATCATTTTAAGCATGAAAATAACATTTTTCAACTGTTATCACACCCTGAACTTAGAAACTTTTTCTTGTGTGGTCTCAACAAGCAACACGAGGTAACTCAATCTTCTACCATTCCTTGAATTGTTCACTCATTCAATCAAAATCTTCTTTTCAAGATAAGTAAGACTTTTTCAAAATCAAACCTCATGACAAAGATTTCAATCAAGACGTCACTGCCTTATTTGGTTCATCAAAGTCACTTAATATCCAACAAAATGCTATTTTTCAGGGAATGATCAATCACAACTAAACATGGATGTTCATTGCTCAATGAATATTTCCTCACTAGGTAAAGTGTTTCAACACTCAAACACAAAATGTATAAAGAGGTAATCACTCATTCACTCTACTATCACAATGTTCACATGAATCGTCTTTGCCTTCATTTTAACCGACAAGCAAATAAATTCACAAGCATGCATCATCACAATGACTTTTTCAATGGCTTATTAATGTGGCTGGACTAAACAGAAAATTGGTTTTTTTCCTGGATCACAAAACCCCTGAGTTAAGTAATCCACCTCAAAACCAATCATTCTTATTTATTCCCAACTTTCTTTTGGCATTGAGCTTTGCTTGTTCTTTCGTTTCTATTTCTTTCTCTTTTCTTTTTCTTTTCACATTCTTATTTCTTAGCACTTAGCTCAATGCTTTCAATTTCCCCTTTCTATTTTCCACCAACAACCCCAAACCTTGACATTGTCATACCCACAAAAATATCTTCCTACTTAACCTCAGGTACATCTTTTTCACAAAGTTTTTCAAAATCATGTTCAAGGCTAAGAGGTTCACAGGATAGAACACATAATGTTCTCTTTTAGTGGGCTAATCATGAAATTTGGCTAAAATGGAAGGGTTATCAACAATGGCCTTGATCATATGATGCAAACAGCAAGTACTATTCAATCCTGAAAACCAACCTGGACAAATTCAATTCATGCCTTTCCAAAGAATAGCATTCATTCATACAACTCTGAAGCTCAAAACCTCACACGTAAGCTCATTCACATTTGACATAAACATCCTGCTTAATATCACAATCACAATCAAACATCATGCATTTGTTCACAAAGCTTGTGAACCACACCTGTATAAGCATGTGCACATCGATCTCAATACAATCTATATCAAAGCATCATCAAGCATTACTTTATCAAGCAATCACAATCACAAGCAAACCATCACAATAGACAAATTTTCCAATTGAGTACATCAAACCCTATTCTAAAAACAAAAGTAAGTTCAGAACACTAAACCAAACAAAAGCATAAGTCCTGCTCTAGTTATGATAGCATTCATCAGTAAATGCGTAATCTCAGCTCCTCATCAATCTGAGCTGTCATCTGTATCCTCCTCTTCTTCCTCATCTTCCGCATCCTCAAATCCATCATCATCATCATCATCATCTTCTTCATCCATCTCCATAGCTGAAGCTTCAGCTGCTCCAGCTCTGCTGCCTTGTACCTGTTCTTCTGGCCAAGCTTCCCACATTAATGAAACTCCTCCATAGTCCACTTGTGTGCTGGAGGTGTATCATACAATTCCAACAATCATCTCAGTAGTGTCCACCCCCTGCCCGCTGTGGATAGATTGGTAACTGTGTCACCTATAAAGAGACATGTTACATATCCTCATTTGAAGGTTCCTCTTCATTTTCTCAGTAATGTTGACTCTGTGCTGCCCTCTTTCTTCTCTCTGGCGAGTACGACGTGGTGGAACTGGCTCACTGCTTCCGTTCCTCACCATCCACAATTGTCTATAATAAAGCTCGGCAATGGCTTTTCCTTAGCCCTTTCAAATGGTGGAGCAGAAGTATCGCACCACCCAGCTATCTTGGCGAGGTGTGTGCTTTAAGAAGGAGGTCCTAAAGGGTGCTTTTCTGTTTGTTGTGGTTAAGCACAAAACCCCACCCAACACCCTTCTCCTCCTTATCTATTACCTGTCCCAATATTACCATTCAAGTTCCTGATTGCACAGTAAAGGAGGAGTGCCCTACTAGAGTAATGTCTGACACATGAGAACATGGGCATGTTTGGCATGGAGAAAAATGCCATCCAATACGCTTTGCAAGAGGAGCCAGTTTAGTTCTCCTAATGTTCACCACAGCCGCCCAGTTTCTATTCCTCTGAAAATGTTCTCCTCCAGTACAACCAAACTCTCTCCACCTCATCAAAATCAATCAAGCGCCTTCTTCCTACAGAGAGCAAATTGGCACTGCTCACCAGCCACACAGTATCCAGAAGTTGTTGTTGGAATCAGGATCAATACCTAATAGCATGCCTCTGACATAGCCAAGGTAATTCTCAGCGGGATATCAACCAATCTTTCTTGCATTAGTGTAGAATTCTTTAACCACAGCTATTGGCAGGTTAGTGTATGTGACTAGCTTTCCCCAATCCTTCCTAACAATTGCTCTCCAAATTGAGGAAGCAAAGTTAGTGTATCCATTCCAACCTTTCTCCTTTCTCTCCATTAGTGCCTCCTACTGGGAAACCAACTGGAAATGCTTCCATGTTTTCGAGATAGGAACCTACTAGAATGGGGTTGTTTCCTGGTTCCTTTTCTTTTCTTTTGGATGCCATGGTCTTTAATTCTTTTGTGCCTGCAGAGGATGCCATTTTGGGTGGAGATGCTGATGAACTGAGAATGCTTTCAGCTCTGATATCTCTCCTTTCCTAACCCTCTTCCCTACCCCAAACTTAGATGAAAGTAATGATCAAATGAGTGAAAGAGAGATTTTCTCAGAGGGATGAGGAAAGTTGTAGGAAAAACCTTTGAAAATTATGTAGGAGTGTAAAATGTGCAAAGAAAAATCTGAAAAGAAGAACTAAGCGCAGCTTAGGGTAATCAAAATAACCCTAAGTGGGCCTCAGGTTCCGCTTAGGGGCAAAAACCTAAGCCCATCTGCGCACTACCAAACCATCTACCGCTTAGCGGTAGTTTGCCGCTCATCGGCACTTTCGAGAAGTGATCTTCTTCTTCCTACTTAACCTAGGTGCCCTCCTACCCATGCCTCTCACTTACTCTACCCTGCAATAACATGTTCAGATTATTCCATCAAAATCCTATTATGCAACTACAACAGAACAAACAAAAATATAATCAATCCAACTGGGTTGCCTCCCAGGTAGCGCTTGTTTATAACCGTCAACGAGCCTGACCCCAAAATCCACCAACAAACCCATCAGTAGGTGCAAACTTTTCTTACCAACACCCATCAGTAGATGTAACAAACCTAGTAACCTTCAGTGGAACTTAACCACCTAGCATCCTTCAGTAGATGCTATATCTCTGACAAATTTCACAAACAAAAATACCCAAAAGTTCAAAATTACATCACCCAAACCACAAATTAAAAGTTTTCTTAAAATTCAACTCACTGGGTTTGCCCCCAGCAGCGCTCTTTTAACATCATTAGCTTGACCCAATAAATTCAAGCGTAACAGGAAGCACTTGACCGAGCGGTGTAAAAGTAATGAGAGAAAAATGAAAGTGAATTGTATTGAATGCGTTAGAAAAAATACAAGCAGTGCAATGTATGACTGTTACAGAATTTAAAATCCTAACTAATTGGAGGCTTGAGTTATAATCTCCTAACAATGTCATCAGTTGATAATTTAGTTTGGAAATCAATGTTACAGTATGATGAAGTTTGCTAATAAAGGATTTGGTTTTACGTGGAGGAGCACTGGTTAAAAAAGTTCGCAAATGTGTTGGTTGTTTTTAGAATTAACAGCAAAAGTTTATAGGTGTGGGAAAACATTATTGTTGTTGAAGGTAAATACTTTGAAGAATAAATGAAAATTATTTTAGAGATGTATAAATTAGGTAGTAAGGAGAAAATGCGTTAGATTTATTGAAGCATGATTTTGTGTCATAATGGTTTGTTACTTTTATTGCAGTAACCAATTCACGTTGTATGAGTAAAAGAACTTGAGTTTTATATTTATGAATTATTTTTTTATTAGATATAAAGACAAAGTTTAATAAAATATGGATTTTATTTTCATGAATAATTTTTTTATTACATAAATAGAAAAATTAAATATGTTTTCTATTTTTAAAAGTTTTATTTTAAAATATGGGAAGATGAAGATGATCAGAGAGTGTGGTTTGTAAGTGAGACGAAAAAGAGAGATAGTGAGAGAATTTTGAGGGGTCACGTGAAGAGTTAGCAGCAGAGAGTGGTATGAGATGTTGGTTGGGATTTAAACAAAAAGGAACGTGAAGGTGTGCATGGGGAAGAGTTTTGAGTCCAGGGTGGTTACATGAGGAGAGTATTATGTCCTGGGAAGGTGTGAATAAAACATAATAAATGGGAGCGTGTAATTAAAATTTAGAGAAAATAAGGAAGAAAGTTTGTTTGTGAAATTGGTTGCAGAGAGTGAGTTTTCCATCTTGGTTAGTGATTTCGTTTACAGTGAATTGATGATATATATATTTATATTGATTATTTAAATTGTTTAATAGTTTTAGACTTGGTATTTTTATGTAAAAGAGATATTATAATATTTTCACACAATGTTTATGGTTACGGTTGCTTCTACATTTTAATCGAACAAGATTGATTATTTAAAATAAATGTTTATAAAAGAGTTTAAAAAAAAAAATTACACCGTGACACCTCAAAAATTGGGTGTTACATTATTAATCTGTTAAAATTTTGAATTAAATGTGGGAACAACTACTAATCATGGTCTTCTTTTTTAATTTTGTAGGTTAATTTCCCTCAAGCTAGGAAGATTGTATTGAGTAAAATTCACCAATATATCAAAGACCGCCTTTTGGATGCCAAATATGCACGTGCTTTCTTATTGAACATATTTGGATCCAAACCAAACAACTTTGCAGAGGTAAGTTGCTGATTCATAGTCTTTTTCAAAATTGAAAATTTTCTTTGCTTTAACTTCAATTTTGTGTTTCTTTTATAACCTCTTTGTGTTAATTCAGGATAAACAGAACTTGGCCGACATTATTCAAATGCACCACCAGTTGAAGGCACGACAACTTTCTTCACAATCAAATGCAAATTCCTTGGCCACTTACCCTGAGTACATTCTTCCATACCTAGTTCATACACTTGCTCACAATTCATGTCAAGATGTTGATGAGTGCAAGGAGTTTGGAGCATATGATGATATATACCGGTATGAGTTCTTATCCACACAAGACATGGCTTGCTGGATGCAGTATTTGAATACTCTTTTAATAGTGTGTGGAAGGAGATAATAGAATCTTCTTTGGACAGTAGCAGTCCTCTTTGTACTTTATTGGGATTGAGCAGTTCTTAGCTTCCTTTTAGTGTTTGGCTAATGGTCCTTTTAGTAGTTTGTCTCTTTTGCATATCTATGGAGAGATTTATGTGCTGTGCATATTTCTTTATTTGTTCTTCTCTTCTGTGTGATTTCTTTCATTCTTGTGCTTTTATTACCCTCTTACTTTTGGTAATTCATAAATGTTAGTGCTATTTCTAATTATTTTATGACATTAATGTATGAAATGTTAATATTTGACTTAAATTTGAAAGATATGAAGAATTGCCTTTATGCATATACCAAACTGTATTTTATGAAGAATGCAACTGGGCTTATGCCTACAAATTTATCAGACACCAAAATGTAATAGGTTGAAATGCTTATTGTTTCTGAATTTTATGTTATAAATTTTCAGGCAGTTTCACTTAATACTTTCAATGCTACTGCAAAGAGATGAAGATGTCAAGTCAGAAGTTGTTTTGAAGTACACTTCTTTCTCTAGATCATGTTATTGGTACCATGTTATACTAATAATTGTTGTTTTGAACTACATTATGTATTGTTTCGGTAGGGATGTGGAGACCGAGATACCAACCTAACAAATTTGGACTGCTTCTTCTTGTGATGCCTATTACGGTGCTCTCTCTCTGTACTCTGCTCTCTGAAGGAAGATGGGCTGGGTACCTGCAAAGGCACTCCGACGCTCAAGTCAAGAAAGGAATGTATGATCGATCAGAAGAAGAATAATCTCTCTCTTAATTTCTCTAAGGGGAAAAACGTACCTTTTTTTTGGTGTGCTTTGCATATTTAAAACAGGGAAATAAACCGTTTACTTGGAAATCCGGACAGTTACCGAAGTGGACTATTTGGAAGTTGTAACTGCTAGGTCGTGTTTGATACTGAGTCAATTACTTGCGTGATTCGTGGCGTTAGCTAATATTTGTAACTGCTTATTCTTAACTGCTGAACCGTTTTACTATGATATCGCTCACTATATGTCGACCGTCGTATGTGTCGACATAAACATAAGAAATGTCGTGCGAGCGATATATGTAGCGACGTCACTGTTTGGTTGTCGATCACCAAATGGTCGACATCACCAAAAGGTCGACATCACCAAAAGGTCGACATCACCAAGTGGTCAACATCACCAAGTGGTCGACATCAACATGTAATCGTGTGACATTACAACCGTAAGGGAGCTTTGTATTGCATACCCTTATTATTAGTTTTAACTGTCGCCATGTCGCCCGGGTTACCGGTCGACCGCTGGTGAATTAGGTATCCTACAGTACAT